CCCGCTCGAGCAAATTGACGAACAACGGGAGGGTCTTTACCTTTAATGTTATGTTCCTCAGATTTTTTCCTGCTCTGTCACCCAAGAAAACCATATATTCCTTTGCTTATAATTTAGCTAGGGGCATTTTACACTCATTTGTCTGTGTTTCTCATTGAAAGGTCCAATTTCCTTGTGGTGAGCATGCAGCAGTCAGGGCACTTGGTCAGGGTCCAGCCCACCACCCAGTGCCTCTGGGGGCCATCCCGCCCCCTCTCCCCCCAGCACTGCCCTGCTGGTCCTCACAGTGAATCCATGAGACTTTTCTCCTTTGCCCTCAAAACACATTCATAAGAGCTGGAGAACTCTTTCGGAGGGGCAGGATAGTGGGGTTTGGGGTCACACCAAAGGATGCTCAGGCCTGACTCCTGGCTCAGGGATTAAATCGGGCACTGCTCAGAGGACCATGCACAGAGGCATATCAAAGTGGGGTCAGCCACATGCAAGGCAAGAGGCTTAAGGGAACTGCTGTGCAATCTCTCTGGCCAAGATCTCTCTCAATCTCTCAAATACCTCTGGATTTTCACTGCCACCAACGTGGTCCCAATTACACTGACAGATCAGACAAACTGCAGTCCAAATATCCCCTGTAATCGTCTCCCTTTTACTCATGTCTCAGGGCAATTTCAGTCCAAATGACCATTTTTTAAATGTAAACAAGATGCGCAATATATTTTTCCTGGTCAACAAACTCATAAACTTGCCAGCATGCTTAAAGGAAAATTTTAAAGTGCCTTATACTCTTACCTTCCTAGCTCTAAGTTGATCACTTGCTTTGATCAGACTGGCTGAAGGTTGCCACTTCTAAAACCTACCCAGGCCCCTTCCTGTGGCAAGAAAGAATCTTGTTTTCTCCAGTCACGAAAGCATCTTCAAGGAGGCCTCACTGCTGGGCTGACAATCACAATAGCCTTTCACCAATTCTCCCTCTCGTACACAAATGGTATTATTTGTTCCCTGTTTACATTCAGTTCTTAATTATCTCACTCATTTGTTGATTAATTTTGCATTTCTTCCCACTTGACAAACTGATGCACAGCACCTAAAGGCCACTTCAATAAACATTCCTTATGCCTAGAAAGATGTGAGGTTGTAATCTATAAATTCAGAGTACCATAAGCCTGTGATAAACAATAAAATTTGACTTAAAATATCTATAAATAGACATTAAAAGAAAAAATAGATAAATATTTGTTGTATGAATGACTTGGCCAACACAAGTCTGAACCTTTACTTTCAATTGCCATGAACAAGCTCTTGCCTAAATGAAGAGAGTAGTATTCGTCAAAGCGGGTGTCCCATTTCCCAAGTGGGGGACACTGTCTCCTTACTGAAGGAAAGATGGAGATGGGGCAGGAAAGACAGAGATGAAGCAGGAAAGATGGAGATGGCAACAACAGCCCCAGGTACAATTTGGGAAGCTTTCTCCTTGTTCACTTAAAAATTAGATTTCCAGGGCCGGAGAGATAGCATAGTGGGTAGGGTGTTTGCCTTGCATGCGGCCAAGTCGGGTTCAGTCCCGGGCATTCCATATGGTCCCCAGAGCAAGGCCAGGAGTAATTCCTGAGTGCAGAGTCAGCAGCAACCCCTGAGCATCACCGGGTGTGATCAAAAATATAAATAAATAATTTAAAAATTAAAAAGAAATACTTCCATTAGAACAATTACCATTTCTTTTTTCTGAAAAGGTGGTGATAAGTCAAAGAAGCTTGAAAACCTCTGAGTTAGAGTAAAAAATTTAATAATCAGCAGTCTCTAAAGCTCACCTACTTTATTTAAAATAAGTTAAATGAAATAATTTAAATAGCTTAAGTTATTTGTGAAATTGACAAGAAATCACTTGAAATTTGGGGAAAACTTAATGTACACAATAATGCACTCAAAGCTTATAATCTGGCTGTAGTGATCTTTTAGACTCTGACCACAGACATACACAAACACAAACACACACAGACATACACATACACACCCATCAATTTGTGGTCATTCCCTTTGGAAAGTACAAATTGTTCAGTTTGGCGATAACTCAAGGTGTACATGACAAGGAATGTAGCTAAGGAAATTTCTATAAATAGATCGGGCTTTTGTAATAGGAGAGGTACTTAAGGTTTTAGTCTTGAGAGGCAGATTGTTTAAGTTGATGTTTTAAGCATTTAAGAAGTTGGAGAGTTGATCTACTCAAAGACTGCCACCTGAAGGCTAGAAATAGTATTTTTGGTATTACAGAATCATGATCATGTTTTTTGTGTGAAAGAATAAATTTTAGATTTTCCTTTACAGTAAGAAGCTGACCTTTACAAACATACCCAATTCAGCAGATCCTCCTAGAATCTACATATCTACTCTTTCCACTGATAAAATATTTTCCTTATCTCTTTCATTCTAAACCTTAGAATGCTTTAAAAACATGCCCTAAAGGCATATGGAAAAAATGCTCTTCATCACTAATCATACGGGAGATGTACATCAAAACAACCATGAGATATCATCTCACACCATAAGACTGGTACACATCCAAAAGAACAAGAACAACCAGTGCTGGTGTGGATGCAGTGAGAAAGGAACTCTCCTTCTTTGTTAGTAGGAATGTCAATTTGTTCCAGACTCTTTGGAAAACAATATGGGTATTCCTCAAAAAACTAGAAACTGAGCTTCCATACAATCGAGCAATACCACCTCTGGGAATATACCCTGGGGAACCAAAAACACACAGCAGAAACACCATCTGCACTCCTATGTTTGTTGCAGCACTATTCACAAAAGCCAGAAATTGGAAATAACCTGAGTGCCCGAGAACAGATAACTGGATAAAGAAAATATGGCATACCTACAGAATGGAATTCTACACAGACTCAAAGACTGCCACCTGAAGGCTAGAAATAGTATTTTTGGTATTACAGAATCATAATCATGTTTTTTGTGTGAAAGAATAAATTTTAGATTTTCCTTTACGGTAAGAAGCTATTAGGAAAAAATGAAGTCATGAAACTTGCCTATAAAAGGATTGACATGGGAGAAGCATGCTAAAAGTAGACTACAGACCAAACATGATTGCCACTCATTGCCTCTTTTGCAAATCACAACACCCAAAAGGAGAGAGAGAACAAAAGGGAATGCCCTGCCAGAGAGGCAGGGGGAGATGGGGGGGATGGGGGTGGGAGGGATACTGGGATCCGTGGTGGTGGGAAATGGACACTGGTGGAGGGATGGGTATTTGATCATTGTATAATCGAAACCCAAGCACAAAAATTTGTAAGTCTACAACTGTGCCTCATGGTATCTCACTAATAAAAATTAAAAAAAAAAAAGACTGACATGATGAGTATCATGCTGAGTGAAATGAGTCAGAAGGAGAGGCACAGATATAGAATTATTACATTCATTTGTGGTGTGTGTGTGTGTGTGTGTGTGTGTGTGTATATATATATATGTATATAAAGTATGAGACTAATATTCAAGACCAAGAAAAACAGGGAGGACTGGTCAATGGTTGGAATCTACCACAAGCAAGCATGGGGCAGAAGGTAGGTAAGATGGAGGAGGGACCAGTATAATAGTAGTTGGAAATAATCACGCTGGATAAGAACTGAGTGTTGAAAGTAGGTAAAAGGATATTCCTGATAACCTTTCAGTATCAGTATTGCAAACCACAATGCCCAAAAGGCGGGGGTGATTTGGGGGGGGGGATTTAGGAAATTGGGGACATTGGTGCTGACAAATGTACACTGCTGGGAGGATGGCTGTTTAAACACTGTATGACTACAGTCCAATCATGAACAGCTTTGTGATGTTCTATCTCACAGAGATTCAACAAAATAATTGAAAAACAAAAATAAAGCAAAACAAAAATGCCATGAGTCTGTATGATACTGTACTGTGTTTATTTCCAAGAGTCGGCTTGCCTAATTAGTGCATTCCTAAAATGGTGCTTCATTAAACGTATCTTTTTTTAATTGAATCACAGTGAGATAAACAAGTTACAAAGTCGTTCATGATTGTGTTTTAGTCGTACAATGTTCCAACACCTGTGCCTTCACCAGTTTTCATTTCCCACCAACAATGTCCCCAGCTTCTCTCTGCGCCCCCCCCCCGAATATATCTTCTTGTTGAATATATTTTCCTATTTATTTTCATTCTGTAATTGGGAAACTGAATTGAGAAATACTTAATTTTAACATTAACAAGCACAGATATAACAATCTAAATTTTTATAAAATAATGATCATGCTGCTATTGCTCTTAAGTTTGTTTTATTATCCTAAGTCTTTTCTCCACTTAACCAATCCCTGAAACCTTCTAATTTTATAACCGTCTAGTTTTATTTTAATATTTACTAGTAAAAGTCCTAGGAAGGATATTTAAAATGCAGGGATCTACTTTCATTAGCATATTCTTCTTGCTCTATCATAAGTGTTTTCCCACTGAATTTTTCTTTTTGGGAAAAAGAAGACAAAATTAAAATTATGAAATTTCCTTTGAGTTTTTGAATATTGTATTTTATCTAACTGGGACAACATATTCGATAACTCCGAGAAGTTCGATGTCTCAAAACCACCATCTTAAGAACTACTTCTGCTGTTAAGAAAAACTCTATAAATCCCGGAACAGGAATCAACGCATTCAGGATACAGAGCTGAGTGGTAAACCCAGCAAGAACAAGCACAAATAGGAAAAAAAGATCTTAGCACCTGCCAAGGGAAATAAGTCCCTGCCTTTTGAGGAGCAGAGTATGCAATATGGGGCAGAAGAACCAGAGGATTAAAAATTGGGGGCTCCACAAAAGTAATAAACAATGTGCAATCTGGTGCTATAACCTCCCACTTCACAGGATTCACATAAGACAAAGCAGCAAGCCCTGAAACCAGTTGAGCCCTGCCCAGGGCCACAGATTTACCACACAAAGCCAAGGATCTCCTTTCATGCTACTTCAATGAAAACAAACACAAACAACAGAAACTTACCTTCAAAAAGGGACCCTATGTGGTAGGGGCCACTGAAAAATCTTGGCAGTGAAAATACAAGTGCTCCCAGTCCTATCATAAAGGATGCAAACGAAAGCCATCTGGGCTTGTGTCCTCTTTCACCAAAGAAGGAGACAAATAAAGACAGCAAACAGAAGGAGATATCATAGCTTGAGGAGATCAGGCCCGTGAGGGAACTCTTCAGCTCATAGCGCTTCTCAATCGTGGAGATGCTGATATTTACCAGGCCATTTACCACAATACCTAGAACAGAAAAAGGAAACGCATGTGCATTATTACAACCTAATCACTGTGCACATGGTATACTTAAAATTTCCTCATTTATTTTTACATTTTTGGCGTAATATTATCAAAGCTTCATAGCCTGGCAACCCAAAAACTTACATCCTTGGGGCCAGAGTGATAGTACAATGGGTATGGTGTTTGTTTGCCTTGCATGCTGCGACCTGGATTAGATCCCCAGCATTCCATATGGTCCCCTGAGCACCACCAGGAGTGATTTCTGAGTGCAGAGCCAGGAGTAACCCCTGAGCATCTCCAGGTGTGGTGACACAAAAAGAAAAAAAACATAAAACAAAAAACAAACAAAAAAATTTACATCCTGACTAATTCATTCACTTAAAAATCAATGTTCAGGGGGTGGTGAAAATGGATGAGAACAATGCTGGGAGAAAGTATAGCAGTTAGGGCAACCACTTAGCATATGACCCAGGTTTCATGCCTAGCACCCTGTGGTCCTCTGAGCACTGCCAGGGTAAAACCCAGGGTGTGCCTGCCTGGCGGTCCCTGGCCCATATCAGCTGTGGCCCTGGAGATCTCCTGCACTGCAGAGCAAAACACATTTTCAAGACCTTGCACTGAACCACACACTAAGCAGGTAGAGAACTGTGTGGACTCACACAAAAGTAAATAAATAACGATGCTTATCACGTTTAAATTATAGCTCACTTTATTTTTCTTTTATTGGTTAATAAAAAGGTCAGAGCAGCAAAGTCTCCTGAGGACACTTTTTCTGGAAAGTTTCCCAGGATAGAATTTTTCCCAGTGACCCCACTCTGAACAGACCTCAGGATGGACAAGCCACTCCAGAGGTCAGGAATATTCCTTCCTCAGAAACCTGAAATTACGTCAAATCAGAGAAAAAATAATAGAAATTGAAAAACAAAACCTGATATTTTATCTGTTTAGAATCACAGGGACAGAAGAATAGAAGGTAAACTAAGGAAAGATGGGAAACCAATTTTGATCAACTTTGTAAAAATGTCCTCTCCAGACATCAGAGTAAAAACTTACAGTTTACACATCACTATTGATTGAAAAATAAAAAGATTCAGTTACAAAGATTTTAATTAGGCACAGCTGTTAATGAAGAGAATACCATGGATTGTTTCATTCATTCATGGAAAGAATACATTCAGGCCATGATCTCTACAATCCCTTCAAAGTTAGCTTTATCAGTGTGTGTGTGTGTGTATGTGTGTGTGTGTGTGTGTGAGAGAGAGAGAGAGAGAGAGAGAGAGAGAGAGAGAGAGAGAGAGAGTGTATTTACACTTCTTGTAATATATATTTCATGAAAATTACTAGCAAGTTTGGAAAAACCCAACATTTTGTTTTTGTTCACTAAGTTTCTAAATCCATTTATGTCTGAAATTTCAAGGTAAAGTATATGTGTATAGGAACCATGAGTTTATTAGGAAACAAAGTTATATGAAAATTTACTCAGTCCTACAAACGTGTCATACTGAGTAAAGTTCACTCATTCTTCAAGCCCATGTTCTCCACTGAATACGTACCTCGATGGTCTGTTTCTTTGCTTGCTTTTCCACTCTGAAGCCCAGGTTCTTATCTTGAACATGCACTTTTCTGTCTCTCCCCTCACACAATTTTAAAGTTTCAGTAAAAAATGTCTTGCTACACACACACACACACACACACACACACACCAGTCCCAGGGGCCATCTGGAGCCCTGCTGTGCTTAAGTGAAAGTGCTTGAGCACAGACTGGCAGAAGCCCCAAGTTTGAGGCCAGGCACATGGCCACTAGAAGCCTTCCGGCCCACCTGCTCTCCAGCACAGCTAGCCAAAACTCCTCAGGCCTGAATTCCCAAAGAGGCACTACAACTCACTGCGATTACAGTAAAACCTCTCTTAAAAAGTTAATATATCCCAGAGAGGCAAAAAAGTATAGTTGAAGTGACATCTGCACTTGTTTTTTCATTGCAGCACTCTTTACAATAGCCAGAAACTGGAAAAAACCTGAGTGCCCGAGAACAGATGACTGGTTAAAGAAACCTTGGTACATTTACACAACGGAGTACTATGTAGCTGTTAGAAAAGATGAAGTCATGAAATTTACATACAAGTGGTACTACATGGAAAGTATCATGTTAATCGAAATGAGTCAGAAAGAGAGGGACAGACATAGAAAAATTGCATTCATCTGGGGAACATAAAGTAACAAAATAGGAAACTAACACCCAAGAATAGTTGAGATAAGTACTAGGAGGTTTACTCCATGGCTTGGAGGCCAGCCACACATGCTAGGGGAAAAGGGAGCTCAGATAGAGAAAAGAGCACCAAATAAAAGAGAATCCTCCCATGATGGGAGAAGCATGCTGAAAGTAGACTATAGACCAAACATGATTGCCACCCATTGCCTCTTTTGCAAACCACAGCACCCAAAAGGAGAGAGAGAACAAAAGGGAATGCCCGGCCACAGAGGCAGGGTGGTTTGGGGGGGTGGGGGGGTGGGAGGGATACTGGGATCCGTGGTGGTGGGAAATGGACACTGGTGGAGGGATGGGTATTTGATCATTGTATAATTTGAAACCCAAGCACAAAAAATTGTAAGTCTACAACTGTGCCTCATGGTGTCTCACTAATAAAAATAAATAAATAAACAAATAAAAAGTTAATTTGTGAACTCTGTAGCAGGCATGGTACTTTAAGCCTACAGATCCCCATTTTATGCTATGCAAGCTCCAAGAACTCTTAAAAAAAAATAATAAGGAAGAAAGAACTTCTACGAAATACTGTGTGGCTATTATAAATACCTGAAGATAGGAAACACAATAACAAGAGAAGTCCTGTTCAGCTCTGAGAATGCTGACTGTTGACTCTTAAACATACTTGTAGGGCAGGAGAGGTAATATAGCACGTGGTATGCTTGCCTTGTATGCAGTAGGCTAGGGCTCCAGGCCCAGCACCATGTACAGTCTTGAGACCCTGGGAGTGATCCCGAGTGCAGACTAAGCCCTGAGTACAGTTGGCTGTGCCCCCAAACAAAACCAAAACTTGCACTTTGACAGGTGTGAAAGATTTGCCCAGCCTGATCACACACAATCAAATGCCAGGGAAGTGGTCTTCCCATGGACCACATTTGACCAACAAGATAGCAATGTTTTCAGTCATTCTAATACAGAAAAAAACAGAAAGAACTTTTTGGGTCACTTATATGTTAGATTAGCTTCTGAGTTGTAGGGTTCTGTCTAGGTAAATACAGGTCTGGACTGATACTTTTCTGAGAATGTGAATCATATCTGAGATTAATTGTAAGCAATTTTTCATATTGAACAACCACCAAAAAATGTGTCCTGGAGTATTCTAGAAACTCCATAAGGGAGTTCATAACCAAAGGGTATGAAATTTTCACTTGTTGGGCTGCAGAGATAGCACAGCGGGTAGGGAGTTTCCCTTGCACGCGGCCAACCCGGGTTCGATTCCCAGCATCCCCTATGGTCCCCTGAGCACCGCCAGGAGTAACTCCTGAGTGCAGAGCCAGGAGTAACCCCTGTGCACCGCCGGGTGTGACCCAAAAAGAAAAAAAAAATTTGCTTGTGTCCACCTTCTTGGGGCTAGAGCACAGCGGTAGGGCGTTTGCCTTGCACGCAGCCAACATGGCCAACCCGAGTTCAATTCCTCCGCCCCTCTCGGAGAGCACGGCAAGCTACCGAGAGTATCTTGCCCACACGGCAGAGCCTGGCAAGCTCCCCGTGACGTATTCGATATGCCAGACACAGTAACAACAAAGTCTCCAATGGAGACGTTACTGGGCCCGATCGAGCAAATCGACAAACAACGGGAGGGCCTTTACCTTTTTACCACCTTCTTGGAACTTTTTGCTCCTCTGAATGCAAAGGAATTGCGGGGAGACAATTCATACCGATTTACTTGGGTAACTAAGATCAAGACAGAGAGAAGGTAAACTTCAGCGAGGACAAGAGAAGGAGAAAGAAAGACACCTTTGGCACGAAACCACCTCTGGCACAAAACTGCCCGTGCAGAACTCTAATTGACCTGTCATTAACGAATGCTATCTTAGCACCTAGCAGAAGAGCCAGGGGCAATGAGTTCCTTTGAGACAGGGGAGAGAAGGGATAACAGGAGGACACTTTTAATCTTTTAACCTTTTAATCTGGGGAAAGGGAGGAGAATCATCTCCAATGCCCCTCTACGCGCCACGTGGTATGCAGTGGTATGCTATAGCACCACGCACCACCCCCCGCAATAATAATAATAATAATAATAATAATAATAATAGACATTTCTTTCCATTTGTCCATAACTACCTCTGTTCAAAGTGTTTTTTAATCATAAATGACCCTTCACAAAAAAACAAACATCGACACACCGTCTAATTCTGCAGCCACCCCCCCAACACACACACGCACCACCACCGCCACCACCCCTGAGACAGAAAGCCCTGCCGTTCTGACTTGGTCACCCTCGGGGGTGCTGAGCCTTTCCTTCATCCTCCGCGACCTACTCGGAGCTACCTTTCAAGCTGATCTTTTTCCTTCCTCCCTCTCTTGCCTCCAAACCAGTCTTGGAGAGCAAACTCCTGAGGGCACGCACCTCGACTTTATCCGAGACTCCCAGGTACCCGGAGGGGCTCCGGGAACCTAACGGGCTCGGCGCCAGCATCCGACGCCTTTCGCCCCAACCGCGAGGCGCCGAGCGAGCACGCGGGCGCCCGCAACGAAAGCGGCTCGCGGGGCCCGGAGCGACCTCCCCGGCGCCCCGCCCCGCCCCGCGGCCGCTGGGCATCCGTCGCCCCCGCCCCCAGGTCCCCCTCCTAGAAGTGTCCGGCCCACACGGACGCTCCGACCTTAGAGGGGTCCGAGCCCCCACACCCCTCGGCGCCCCCACCCCCCACCCCGGCACGGGCCGGTCCCCACGCCGGGTCCGGGGCGGCTGCACTTCCGCCGGGGACTCTGCACGGAGCCTGCGGGCAGCCCGCGGCGGGACCCCCGGACCACGCTGGGAGGCGTCGGGGGCGCGCGCTCGGGCCCGCACGCGCACCTGCCGCGCCGCCTTGCGCGACCCCCGCCTCACCTTGCGTGAGGGCCAGCAGGCAGTAGTGGACGAGGAAGCCCAGCGGCGTGTTGCAGCGCTGCAGCCCCTGCGGCTGCAGGTTTCCCCAGCCGCAGGGTCCCTCCTCGAAGTCGGGCTGCGCGGGCTCCCGGGCGTCCCCGGCAGGTGCTGCCGGCGGGAGCGACGGCTCCGAGGGCGAGGGGGTCCGCTCGGGCGGCGGGGACGCCACGCCCGGGGTTCGGGCGGGCGGGAGCGACGCCTGGACGGCCGAGGGGGAGGCGGCGGCGCGGCGCGGGGTGTCGGGGCTGGAGGGCACGAAGGCGGGGTTCTCGATGCCTTCGGCGCCCTTCATGGTGGGCGGCCGCGCGTCCGACTGCGGCGCGTCTGGCCGCCGACACCCGCGTCCCGCTTGGCTCCTCCCCCGGGCAGGTGGCAGCGCCCCCGTGCGGGAGGCGTCGCCGGGTCGCCGCGGCCGAGGATGCGCGGGGCGCGGGCGCGGCCCGTCGGCGCGGACAGGGGCGCGCGGTTCCGGGAGGCTGCGGGCGCCGCTGCAGAGGCGGGGACGCGGGGGGAGGGCGGCGGCGCGGGGTCGGCCCTGCGTGGCCCGCTCCCGGGGCCCGCGGAGCCCCGGGGGCGACGCAGCTCCCGGGGCCGCCCCGGAGAGGCAGATGCACGCCCGGGGCCCCGGCCGCGGCCGTTACCTCCGCTGTTCGCCCGCCTCGGCGGCGGGGACCACCCTAAGCTGGCGAGTCCCGCATTCCGGAGGGAAGCGCTGGAGCAACGCCCGGAACCGAGCCGCGGCCACGCGGGGTCCTCCTCTTGGCGCCGAAAGGGCCGAGGTCAGGGATGCTGCTGGCCGCCGCCCTGCAGGAATCTCTCCCACCTGTGGCGTCCGTGGCACAAAGGTATATTGTGTTTCTCACGCTGCAGAGCCCCACCCTAAGGCAGCTTCCATTCGAGCGCTCGCCCTCTCGGCAAAAACACGGATCTCCACTTTCCTAGCCAGCGGCTGTTGGGGGAGAGGGTGCGGGGGAGAGTGTAGAGAGCGGCCAGAAACCAAGACCCGCTGCCCGGCGTGGCTCGGGCGGGGTTGTTTGCACGTGCAAGCTCGTCTGCCCTTGCAGCGATCTGCCGTGCCGGGGTCGGTGGCAACCAGGTGGCGTTGGACCCCCGCCATGCAGAGAGTCCGGGAGCCGCGAGACGCCTGGGGAGCTCGGAACCGGGGTGGGGGGGGGGGGGGGGGTGGACCCCCCGCTGCCGAGGCAGCTGTGAGCACAGACTTGGGCTTTTCCGGCGACAGAGGTGGCTTTGCACCCCAGCACCGACGGGATCGCCCGGTAATTTGGTAAAAACAAAATAATAACAATCCGCTTGTGAAGCCACTCATCCCAAAGTGGTGGGTGTATCCTCACTTGGTGCTTTAAACAAAGAGAACTTGATCAGCCTCTAGCCCTTCAACAGGCAAATACTGTATATCAAGATCTCACGATGTTTGTATTTCTCTGCGTATGCCAGTAAGACACATAGTAGAAAGGTATATTTCTCATTATTTTCTTGATGTTAATAAAATAAGCTTTTATATTTTCTTTTGACTCTGTCATCACTGCTATACACAAAGTTGGTATGCGTCGTAAAATGTCAGAGTTGAAGAATCTGCTTTCTCAAGTGTAATTATTGGGTATAAAATGTCTCAAAGCAATATGGCAAACTCCCGTTTGGTACACTTAATATAGGTCTTAGATGTCACTGGGTAATATACCGCTATACTTTTTTATTTTCAGTACACTAGCACTGCTATGCATTTCTAAGAATCCTTTTTATTAAAAGTTAGTGTCCTTAACTAAATATTAATTCAGCAGTTTTCAAATCTTGCCATCCTTATTTAATTCTTGATGCTTGCCTAAAAATCAACTTGTACATTCAGAAGAAGCTAGCAGTTGGTAGTATCCGATGGTCTCAAGTGTTCTCTAAATCCCAGAGTGGATAATATGCTAAAACAAAGGTTGCCTCCTATTCTGAAACAAGAATCTTAAAAATTTCTTGTAACCGTGGCCACTAGATTCAATTTAAATGACCTAAGGCCCCAATATCCTAAGTCATCTGAAGAAAATTGATGTTTCGAAGAAAGAAAACACAGTGTGTGTCCTGTTCCTATTTTGTGAAAATGTGTTTCAGTTATTTATATTTGTCTTTGTTTTTGTTTTTGCAGGAGGGGGGTTGTTTGTTTTTGTTTGTTTGGTTTGGTTTTGAGCCACACCAGCAGTGCTCAAGGCTTAATCCTGGCTCTGTGCTCAGGTATCACTCCTGCAGGGGCAGGTGGGGGTCGCACATATGGGTTGCCCAGTAGGCTAGGTGCAAGGTAAATGCCCTACCAACTGTACTAACGCTCCCCTATACTTTCTTGAGTTGAAAAAATTGAGACAGAAAGTCTGCATATTCAAGCATACCTATATCCTGTCTTTGATCCTCATGATAAAAGATTGACCTTGAACAGTAGAGAAGAGCAGAAGTAGGAACTGGCATTTTTCAAGTGACTGCTCTATAGCTCATTATTAATCCTTACCAGAGCAGTAGCTATTATTATTTGCATTTTATTTATTAAGGAAACTGCATTTCTAGGAGGATTGTTTACTTTCTCAAAATACTATCTCTAATTCAAGACCTATTAAAGAATTTGAAATTAGTCTCTTAACAGGTATCTTCCCTGTATTATTGTCATTTCTCTCTTTGAACTTCTGTCCTCTATCTCTGTCATTTAGAATCATTTCATAGCCATTTTGAGAGATCAGTACTCATATTTCTAAGATTTGGGTAGGGTTTAGAAAACTAAAACTTCTCTGAAAATCCCAGACTTTGCAGATATCCAAATGGGCCTTGGAATATAGGCTTCCTAGGCTTTCTATTTTAAAAAGTCCCCACAGAAATGAAAAATAAATGTTTAGAAATGTGAGTAGATCTGACTCTGGTTCTACCTATACTATCAAAATAATATTATACTATCAGAATAAAAGCACTTCAATCCATACTATGCAGTAATTTATACTCTTGCATTATTGTAGAACAAAAGTTTGTGGGAAAGCTAGTGAAAGTGCTATTGCTTCATCTTAAATATATCTTGCTGTTACTGAGCATGTTAGCAACACCACTTTCCTGCTCCCTTTCATTCTCATGCTGCAATGAGTAAAAAAAGGAAGGGGCTGAAGGCTTGCAACAAAGACAGGCAAAACCTATCTTGATTTTTTGTCTCTGATAATTTTGAAACAAATTGTCATTTAAAAAAATATTTCATCAGAGACTGAAGCTATAGTGCAACTAGTAGAGAGTTTGCCTTGCATCTGACCAGCCCAGGTTCAACCCCGGTATAGTCCCCCAAACCTCCAGAAGTGATCCCTCAGCTCAGAGTTGGGAGAAAACCCATTGCACCACCAGCTGAGGCCACCCCCACTATAAAAGACTTTTTTTTAAGTTCAATATCCAACGTAATCTACTGAGAAAAGCAAAAATGTGGTGTTAAATATCTCATCATTGATACATTGCAATTTTAGTGCCTATTATTTAAAATGTTTTTGAAGAGCAGAAAGTGGGAAAAAGAATATGCAGATGTTATAGCCCCAAATAGCTTGCACAGGAGCAGAAGTCCCTACCTCTGTGCATCATTGTCTGAGATGTACTGTAGGTCTTAACAGAAATTAGATGCACCAAGATCAAGTGACTTAATGCCAGGAGCTATCTTAAAACAAGAAGCTATGTTTATTTAATACTTTCATATTTTCCTTCAGTTGCAGGATGTGAAAACTTTAGTAGAACAACTCTAAAAGGCTTGTGAATATTAAAGTCAGAGAAACCTTGAGAATCTGAATATAGCATTGGACAAATGCAGATATTAGATATTACTGAACTTTATTAAAAATTTTAGTATTAAAGGTATTAATACTACTTGGTCCTAATTAAGTACAGCAATGAGGTAATCTAAATGATCTTCATTTATCTTTTTCATTTTTAGTGATCTAAAAATGTGTAATTTAAAATATCTGAGAAAAAAATTTGTTATTAGGGGGTATGGTGCCACCAGCAGGTCAATCTGTACCTGTGAGGCGAGTGCATCAGCAGCCTCATGGCGCCTTCAGACTTCCAGATACCCCAAAATTGCTGCTGTGCCCAAAAACTTGGGGCAAAGTTTACCAAGAAAGTAAACGGCCAAAAGTTAGGTATGTGGGAAACACACCCACAAACCACCTCCGGCTCAGCTATATAATTGGAGGCAAGGCCTCTTTGGTTCCTGATTGAACTGCTTAATGGACATGATCCCAGAGACTCAGAAACGAATCTCAGAACCCAGTGGCTTTAGGTAGAAATGCGTCTGGTCTATGCAGTAGGCTACCGGTGCTGGGCCAACCCAGGTTCATGCCTTGGCCTGTTCCCCCCGTTGGCCCAGTGGCCGCCATCCGTCTGAGGCCACTGGATAGTCACATTTGGGCCCCCAGTGACGAGACACTCATGGCCTCACGGGATGGGGGTGGAGCTGGGCTTGTCCTCCCCACCCCAACAAGACCCAAGTCATCGCCCACAAACAGCCTCTCTGGCTCCTGATCAAGCTGCTTAACGGCCATGATCCCAGAGACTCAGAAACAAATCTCAAAACCCAGTGACTTTTGGCTGAAATGCATCCGGACTCCACAGTACGTTACTGTCACCGGGCCACCCCAGGGAGGAAACGGTGTTGTACCTCCGCCTGCTCCCTCTTGGCGACCTGGTGGCTGTCATCCTCCAGAGGCCATTGGACAGTCAGGCTTGGGCCCGCAGTGACGAAACTTGTTGGGCCTCACGGGATGGGGGGCGGGGGGGTGGAGCCGGGCCTGTCCTCCCCACCCCAACGAGACCCCAAGTCATCGCCCACAAACGGCCTCTCTGGCTCCTCATCAAGCTCCTCAACAGCCTTGATCCCAGAGACTCAGAAACAAATCTCGAAACCCAGCGGCTTTTGGCAGAAATGTGTCCGGACCCCACAGTAGGTTACTGTTGCCGGACCACCCCAGGGGGGAATGGGTGCTGTCCCTCTGCCTGCTCCCTCTTGGCGACCTGGTGGCTGTCATCCTCCAGAGGCCATTGGACAGTCAGGCTTGGGCCCGCAGTGACGAAACTTGTTGGGCCTCACAGGATTTGGGATGGGGGGAGCCGGGCCTGTCCTCCCCACCCCAACGAGACCCCAAGTCATCGCCCACGAACGGCCTCTCTGGCTCCTCATCAAGCTGCTCAACGGCCATGATCCCAGACACTCAGGAGCAGATCTCTAAATCCAGTGGCTTTTGGCAGAAATCCCTCCAGATTTAAGTGTTAAAATTTCGGAATTTC